GTACACCTCTGCCCAAAGGGGACTGAGAACTTCCACTTCTACTCAGATATCTGACCAAAGAGGCTGAGAGGTTTCTAATTAACCTATGTAGGTTTCAGACCTACTTCTCCCACTTCTCCCTTAGAGGGCAGTGAATGGATGACTCTCCTGAAGAGACATTAGTCATTCCCATTAAACCTCTTATGACCATTAACTTTGCCCACTTGTGCCACAAATATTCCCGTTTTTCCAAAGAGGCATCAGAGTGCCTGTTCTAAAAGGGCAATGGTCCTTACTCAAAGTGCAAAGTGGTCTAACACCTTCCCATTATGCCCAAGTGTGCAACAGATTTAGTAGCTCTGTGTAACGGGAGTCTCAAAACTTCCTAATTTGGTAAAGGATCCTCCAATCTACTACCACTCACTTACCAAGGGGGCTTCTGGGTATTTTCTATGCCCAGATGTTCTTCATCTGTGCCCTTCTAACCAAAACAGTCTTCACATTTTCCTCCCCTGATTAAGGGGGTCTCAATATGTACCTGGAGGACCTAGAATATTTTCATTCATCCCATAAGGACTTAGGATCCCAGTGGCTCAAAATACCAAACACAAGTGTAGCTTGCAGAGCCTAGAACCCAATCCACAGCTTCCAGGCAGTCACCAAAATGTGTGAAACCCCTCCTTCATTTATAGACATGAGCAGCGGAACACAAGGCCTGAGGAGGTGTCCTAACGGGATAGACATCCAGACCCTTGAAAGAAGATTTACACTGCTGTCTAGGCTTCTACACATTCACTGCAACCCATGGACATTCTAGTTGCTGCTGAAAAGTTGAAAGGTGATGAGGGAGTGCCTAGAACACCCTCCACTGCACAGTGTGGGTTGGGTACCTCATTTTGTGTCTGAGGGGCAAGGTCTGGAACTTTGCTCTGTCCCAATAGATAGGGAATTTTCCCTCTATGATGTCAGAGGCCCTAGACATTCCTATCGGAACCTGGAGCTTCAGATGTTTCCATAGGGTATGTGGTCTCTATAATTTCTCCATATCTTGAGGCACGGCACTGACCTTTCCCTCTTACCTATGGATCCCCTTATTGGCCTCTCTATGGTGGATACAGACACTCAAATTTTTTATGTAGGGAGTTTCAACATGCCCTCTGACCAAGAGTTTCTCAGAAATATACCCCCTAACTATTGGGGCTTTTGAACTGCCCCTCTGCATAAAGTGAACTCAATCCTACCCAATTTGGGGTGGTTGTCTAATACCATCTCCATCAAAGATGGCCTCATCTGACTAAGGGACAATCAGAAAATTGCCCAATGCCCAAGAGGCCCCACACCTGCCCGCTATGACCAAAGGGACCTGGGAGAGTCTCCTTCTCACCAAGGTAACATGGATTCACTCTTGTTTTGAACCTCCAGAAGCCCAGAGTAGCACGCAGAGTCTGGAATGTGAGTCATCTACCTTCAATCCAGTCATCAGTATTGGAGTATTCCCATTCTATGTGCCCAGACCAGGACAGCAGAATACAACCTTGAGGAGGCCTCAAATCCAGGGACAGCCACCCAGGCTGTTGGAACAGTGTTCAGACTCCTGCCTGAACTGACAATGCCACAGATGATACAGATATTCTTTTGTTAACTTTTTGCTGCTGTTGTTGTTGTTGTTATGGTTTCAGTGTAGAAAAGAATTCCTGTGTTTTTCTTGTTATGTTAATCATCTCCTGGCATTTCAAATCAGCAACTAGTTCTTGAAGTTTGACATTTTCTACTGTATTTGGAAACCTACTTTATACACATACTCTTACTGTCTTTTTACAGCGAAATCACGATGTAATTCAGTTTTACAAATACAAATGGTTCAACTAAAGTTGCGCTCAGATAAATAAATGTATTTTAAATGCAGAACTCCATTTGTTGTGATGTCTTAGGTTTTCATCCAGATGTCAAAAATTCTTTTGACACAAAGGTGCATCTTGCGTGTCAAAACAAAAGTGTGAAAGATGTGTCTTAGGTTTTCATCCAGATGTCAAAAATTCTTTTGACATAAAGGTCCATCTTGAGTGCCGAAACAGGAGTGTGAAAGATGTGTCTTAGACCTAAGGTTGCATGGTGATTCCAGGAATGCACTTAGCAGCATTACCATCTAGTGGCTTAGGAGTCTCAATCAGTATTAATAACTGAATAACATTAATAATTGAAACAACAGCATATGTAGGAAGACTTCCAGATTTAAATCCCTGATGGTAGCCAGAAATAGTAGAATAGTTAACTCTAATTTATGAACCACTAATGGACATGGGGTCTCCTGGGCTCACCCTAGCCAGTGGAGCTTCTGCTCCCTCATGAGGACTACCTTCATTCAACTGCTGCTGAGCTTGCAGCTTGGGGTGTCCTTGGGCAGCCCCCGTGTGTAGCATCCTTCTGCAGCTGCCCATGAAGGTGATTGCCCATAAGCTCTGTGCAGTGGAAGAACTGACCAGGTTGGCCTGCAAAATTGTGCAGCTACCACAGTGACTTGGGGGGTGAGACTGGGGACAGACCTGATAGTCTGGTGTAAGGGAGAGCACACCACTGGGTGGATGCAGGAGAGTCCACCTGCCACCAAGGATAAGCCCATTCTGATTCATGTAGAACTCGAGGGACCATAGAAGGGAGTGCAGGGCTCCCAGTAATGGTGCATGGCCCTCACGGTGGTACCCACCTGCTGGGACCAGTGCTGAACCAGGGTTCTCGTCTTGAAGGCTCACACCTGTGCAGAAGCTTGTGGGTTAGGAGAGCTGGGTGCTCCTGCCACTGTGAGATTCTAAGTTGGTCAGACTGAAAATTGGGTTCATTGATTTCCCTGGCAATCCAAAAGGAGTAACAAATACTGCAAATGAATGTAGTGGTAAAACTAAGTGCAAGGGATTGCTTTTTAATGTTTAATAATTTATTGTTATCCGTTGCATGTTTGGGCATGATGGACGTATGTATAGATGCTTATGTTCATGTATGCAGACCAGAGGCCAAGTGTGGAGTCCACGTTTTCTTCAACCTCTACATAGGATCAGGGATCAGATTTAGGTCAGGGATTGAATTCCATTTGCCAGTTTGGGAGCAAGACCCTTTAACCACCAAGCGATTCTGCAGGATGGACTCTTGAAGGGGGCAGGGAACTCATAGGATTCGCAGGAACACATTGAGCAAGGTTGTTATATGCATATTCTGTACTTCCAAGAAGAGTTGGAAGCTAAAGAGACTTGGTCTGGCCCTGCCATCACTGCAAAGGTGGCCTGAGACCTTCATCTTTTGCCCAAGGTAGTAGGGAACTTTGTCCACGACAGTCCGGATTTTCCTCTATTATGATGGAAGTTGGGCCTAATTCTTCCCCCACAGGAGCTCAGAATTTTACCATCTGACAGGGAGATGTCAACGTTTCCCACCATTTCCAAGGAACCTCACACATTCCCCCTTTGCTGAAAGGGACCTCAGACTTTCCCTCTCTGTCAAGTGTGGCCTCAGACCTATACCCTCTAAACCCCTGGCATACAACCTCCACACAAG